ACCTTTCCACCTAAACTAGATGTCTTATTCCTCATAATTAGGTCCCAAAGGTTGTTACTATTCATGGCTGATGAATTAAATAATCGGGAAGTAAAATAGAAATAAATAAACAGTAAAATGAGCAAACTTTCAATGTCAACAATCTATCAATCATATTTCTTTAACTGTTTTATTCCTGAGCCTGTTTCACATAACATGATATGTGTAATTACAAGTCGGATATCTCAAACAATAATTAAACATTTACCATCTTTGTATACGTGTGTGTATTAGATTCCCAATATCCACCGTTGTTATAGGAACACCCACACAACAGAATCAATTATGTAACAGAGTATGTCTGACTTTTTGTGTGAGCATGGTAAGATCTTGACTCTTGGGAGATCCCAACCCTCCCACGAGATGAACAAATCAATATAGTTATAATGCCGCCGTGAGACACCAGAACCATTACAGTAACGATGCCACCACCGTTGTTTTCCTAAACTCTGTCGATCAATACACGTTGCCTACCAGGGGTGAGATCTCCAATCACATGGCCTAGCACATCATGGGATTAATGAATTATAAATCATACATCTGTTTTTCAAAAAAATATATCCTGTTCTTTTTTTTAACACAGTTGCCAAGCCACACTATCTAAAGGAGCAGTGCATCATCACTAGTGTGGCAGCTTTAGACACCAGCCAAGGGGCCACACTTATAACAGGTTGTTGCGTGAAACGTGGTTTGAATATATATCTGCCGTGAACAAAGTTGGGTCAACACGCATCATTTCATTTCAATACAGAGCGTTTACTTCACAACTCATGATTGTCTCTGACAACTGTTCACAGCATGTGTCTACTTTTCCAGTTGAACACATGTCACTAAATGGTAGTTTTATAACCAATGGAAACCTGACTTGGAGTGATAAACTTGAGGTGGTACTGTGGCCCTACTGACTTCTGCCTATACACAATAACTTCACCTGCCAGGATCTATTCAACTTAATATGTTACATGGGGAGTATGTTCCTTTGACAGTTGGTGACAAATACTTGGCTCTTGACATCTTTTTAGTATAGTTTAGTGTTATCACACTCACTATTATTAACTCTGTTTACAAGACCGAACAGAATTTGACAAGACTTGGGTTCAGACTAGTGGCTAAAGTCATAGACACTTCAGATACATTTCTAAAAACACACTTACATTATTTAGTCAAGTGTTGGATCACAGATCCCATTACCTATTTTCAGTAAAAGAATTGAGAGGAAACTAATCAGAATTTACACTTAGATTTTGCCCCTCAAGACGGCAAATACGCCAAAATTGCTTGTGATTACTCAGTGTTTTTCAAAAAAGGCTACATTTGATATTCATAATTAAAGAATTATCAGTCTTAGCAGATTCTTAGATATGAATCTATAATCCCTGGTCGTTTGACCAGACTTTGTCAAAAACAACTCTTATAGACTTCCGTTAAAAGCCAACATTTGGCAAACTTTTCAGGCTCAAAAATCAAAGTTACACAGATTTCTGACTTTGGCAAACCAGTCTGTGATCCAAGAAATAGAATAATAATAGCCCTACTGATGTGTTCACTGATCCATTGTTAAAGTTTCACATAAACATTTCATTTTTTCTACTTTCAAAGAATGTCAAATTGAACACCAAAAAAATCTTCAAAGTGTAAACTGTATTTTAAAAAAAAATTGATATTAACTATAATTAATAAATTTTGTTAAAAACATTGAACTGCAGAACTATATATTCCAAAAAGAAAGAAAAAAAATCCAACTGTTAACAATTAGTGTTACTGACTAAAATTTATATCATCACATATTAATGTTTACTTTGTCCAATTTATCTTTACAAATATCTAGAACAATGAAGCCTCTTTAACATCAGTGAATGCAACATCAGCATGACAACCAATCTGTAACGAGGCATTAACTGTGGTAACTACAGCAACAGGAGACATCTAATACCCCAACCCACCGCTCCAGTAGTCCGCTTATATCCCCTTATCCAGCCATGTTATGATGTAACTCAAGCCCTGTATAATCCCTACACAATAGACATCGGCACAATGTATTAACGATTTACTCCAGGTTAGCGCTTCTGCGTGGTGGAAGACTTGAATACAGTATTAAAGATACTGCCATGATAAGATTTAATGCTGTAATGGTAGTTGCCATGAAGGTAATACTGCCTCCGACACACAAACATTTACATGCTCATCTGGCCAGTCTTGGAGATTCTAATGACATAAAAAGAATGTTTGATATATTTATTTTATATATTTACTTTATTCAACTTACAAAGGTTTTGGGTCTTTAAATATCAATACTTGGTCTGAGAAAATCGTATCAATTATTAATTATCTAAAATAACCTACCGGGTATTATAGGAATGCAGTTTTATTTTATCAGAGATGTGATTGTTTTATTTTTTATTTTAAAACATTTATTAAACCTGGAAAAAGGTCAAAAGATATCAGTTTAATATTGCCACTGTCGTAGCACTCTGTGACAAATATACACAACTCAATAAAAAGAATACCCGATATTTTTCATATGACTATAGTTAATCTGTCATGGCTGTGGGTATTGCAACACAGCCTTTCAATTGTGAGTAGTGTTCTTTAACTTGTTTTGAGTAGTATATTTTGTACACGTGATATCCAGGCAACAGTTAGCACAAGTTCCTCTTTCACACCTAACTGCCCATTGTTACCTGGTAAATCAGGAAAATATCGGGTGTTTGATCGCTCACCTATAATGATCAGCTTACATGTACAAGTTTCATTCATGCATAGACATTGCTTACTTTCGAGTTGATTATATATATTATCAATGTTTGGTCCAGTGCTGAGATGACCCGTGAAGATCCAGGGTAGAATAGGTCTTCAGCAACCCATGCTTGCTGTAAAAGGTCAGGCACGCTGACTTGGTTGATGTATAGCATCGATCCCAATTGCGTGTATCGATGCTCATGATGTCAGTCACTGGATTGTCTGGTCTAGACTTGATTATTTACAGACCGCCATCATAAAGCTGGAATATTGCTGAGTGCTGCATTAAACAACAAACCAACCAACCAGTGCTGAGAGAAATGAGCTTGAAATTTCCCTGTAGTGACACTACACTTTGTGCTGATGGTTAATGATACAGACTGACGCCCTCAAGATGGTGAAACAATGACTCAGTCCCTTCGTGACACACACACATAATTAAGTGAAGCACATCAGTCAACAAATCTTTCCATATCCACAAATTTATTTATCTTAAATTTGAGCTCAATCAAAATAATTTGTTGTACTGTTATAGTGAGTGAGTGAGAGTGCTTATGGTTTTACGCCGCTTTTAGCAATATTCCAGCAATATCACAGTGGGGGACACCAGAAATGGGCTTCACCCATTGTACCCATGTCGGGAATCGAACCCGGGTCTTCGGTGTGATGAGCGAACGCTTTAACGGCAAGGCTACCCGACCGCCCCTTGTAACTGTTATAGTATCATTTTACATACCTAAATATGTTTAATATACCTTGACAAAATGTGGAGTTTCTGAAAAATAACCTTTAAATAGGGCAGCACTGTGGTCCCTATGTTTCTAATTTCCTTGGCCAATGTGCAAAAATGCATGAGTAAAATACATGGAATATAAAAGAAATGTAGAAAAACTTGAACATGAAAACATTAGAATTCTGGATATTATTTTTAACAGAAACTTTATAGGACAGGGTGTGTTATTATTTTCCTCAAAATGATTTTGAATTGAAGTTAAAAAACTACAAGCAAGGAGGGGTGTGGCCATGCGGCCTGAAGAAGCAAAACTGACATTATTGTTTGACCAGTGTTTTTTTCTAAAATTCCTTTTTATACAACTTTCAGCCAACTGGGCCCTTATCTGTCAATCTCCAACTGGAATATTTTTCAAGGCTGATATTAATTTCTATTCAAGAAAAGATGTTTATCAAAACATGACAAACGACCTGTGTGCAGGTGGAAGGGTTGTTTGCATGTGTGTCAATTAATCACATCGGTCATGTATATATATACATGTATATATACACAGTTCAGGTTGTGTTCAGCAGCTGATGTCATCATGTTCAGCATATCACTATCTTGCTTGGCATGTACACTTGCTGAACCAAGATTGTCGTATCAATTATTCAAGCTCATTTCATGAGTATCTACTATCCAAGGTGGTTCCTTAATAGTTAATGAACAAATTTGACACTGGATCTTCTTACTGCAGTTGATCCCTACATTGAGATCTTTGACTTCAGAATAGGTTGTGGACCTAGCTATGAGACACAATGCAAATAGAACTCGTCTGTTGATAACGTTTACGAGCAACATTTTGTTCCTGTGTTATAATAGTGTTATTTGTCAAGAGGGAAACATTTTTATCATCTGAAACATACAATAATCATTCTCACAATTATCATTATTCACAGTTTACTGGGAATCACAATTACTGGTTCCTCGTCTATCAATTGTGAAACATAAAGGTCCAGAATTAAAAGTTGAATAATATAACTAATCAATCTACATGTTTTCAATAAAAACTGCATTCAAAAAGACATATTTAAGGCTGACTGTTCTATTACAAACATGGGAATACTACCATCTGTATTTGTGGTATCTTGAATCCCATCTTATTTTAAAGTATGGAAGCTTTATATCTATTTATCTCTGAAATGTGTTAATTATATTTATTATATTTGACACATGATTTAAGTATTTTAAAGAATATTTTTGGTAAATTGTCTTGACAGATGTATGGTTTAAATATATATACCTTGTATGTTGATGAATAATGCCAAGCAATGGTATGGGTAGCAACTTATTATATTTTACAAACTGAGAATAAAGAGGCAAGTATAGCCTACTAGGACTAGATCTGCCATTTTCATTGCCTTTTTCTGTATTGCCAATCACAAAGTTAACCAGGTGAAAAATATAATAATACAAACCGCATTTTTTCATTGCATGCTTTTTTTCTCACCTTTTCTCTTGTGTGTCTTGACAATCTGACATCATTACTGTCTTTATTCAACTTCAGATCTTTCCTTGTGTGTTCAAGTGCTTTTTCCAGTGCTTCCTTTCCTCTTGTTAACGATTTTATTTCTTCATTTGTTTCCAACAAACTTTCTCTCAGCTTTGCTACAACAGCCCTCACATCTCTAGTATATCTTCTGATTTCTTCATTACTCAACTGAACAACTGTGTCTCTCAAGTGTGGCAGTGGATCAAAGGCTCTGCCAATATCACAACTTTTATCACTTTTGTGAACTATGTTTTGAGACAGTTTTATACCTTTCAAAGTTGAATTCCTCCACGACTCAGGGCCGATCATTGTGGTAGAAGCAACTTTAGTAGCCATCCTTCTGAAAAAGACTGACCGCGGAGGATGGACACAATCGCTGACAGACCACGGTGTGTAAATAAGTACTGAAGCACAGCCGTGTTTTATTACTTAGGCGTCACTTTCCATGCAACGTCGTCCCGGGCAACGAGTCTGTGTGGATCGAAAACACGAACCCGTATCGTAGCGAAACAGGAAACCCTATTGCGGAATACGGAGTGGGATTATTGTGGCCTTGAAATTTGGGATCATAATGATAAGAATACAAGTTTCAGAAAAATCACCAGCATAAAATAAAAGCAAACTGTCCCCAAAACGTGTCATTTTCTTTAAATTAAAAACGCAAAAATTATTCTCTCGAAATTAGTTTGTGAGTGGATGTAAAATGTGCTCTGTTAAACCTTGTGACATTTACTGATTTAGCATCCACATATCTTCTTTTACACTGCTAATGTGCAGTTGGAAACTTTTTAACTTTATTTCTCAAATATTATATTTTGCAAATATTGTGAAATGCTTTAAATACTTTTATAAAGACCTAATAAATGTATGTCAATAATACAACATCAGCTGTAGTTTTTCTGTTATATTCAATATGGTTAAAGGTACAATAAGTAATTTCCAGTAATCCGTGTTAAAACCAATACGTCTTTTGTAATTTGAACACATTACGGAATGGGTTCGATGACATCAAGACTGGATTAAACTATATGATGGCTAGATTTTTTATCTCTTTTGTCAGTAAAATTATACGAAGTATTACAAACTAAAGTTGAAATAAGAATCTTGAAATTTAACATATTGATTTTAGGCTTTGTTATTCTGACTACGGTAAATATGGATAATCTTTCATTAATCCGAAATAAAGTTGTTTGCAAAACTCTCCGCCTTTTGTCGTGTTAAACAAGGAAATACTCCGGAAATACACAAGGGTTGGATATCCATCGATATCGGATTAAATCGGATTATGTGATTGCTACATTGTCGGCCTTTCATCAGTGAGGGAATTATCTGATTACTGGGTATTACAATCGTAATCACACTTGCTAGTACATATAGAGCAAGCGGTCCTTACAGAGCAGTCGTTGTTTGACTTTTTCCAGCTCCATTTGAAGCAAACACTGCTCTTGAGTGAGTAGGCTTTTAGGCCGTTTTAGCAACATGCCAGCATTGCCATGACGGGAGATACCAGAAATGTGCTTAACAAGTTCATTTGTACCATTTTGGGAATCGAAACGGGGCCGTCGAACGCTTTAACCACCAGTCACTGATGATTTATAATAGGGGTGTGAGTGGGTATTAAGCATTTTAAAAAATGTTCCTTAAAATGGGGCGTATCATCAAATATGATACAGTCCTAAAAGCTGACGGTGAATCTGGGATTCGAACCTGTGCGGTCAGTGGATCGCGGCTAGACAATAGCTTGGCCACGCAGAACGCACGCGAAGAGCCTTGTGAGTTACATATGTTGATGCATTATGTAACATATGTAAAGTATTCGAAGATGAAAAACACATTTTGTATAGCTGTGTTTATCTTTTACAGCATAAGGGACGTGTTACGTCGAAACAGCAAGGACAAAATGAGGACAACCTCTATGTAACTCCCACTTGTAGGGTGCACTAGTGGCCCAGTCGTCTAAGGCGCCACGATTTGCTGTGCAGAGTTTCTTCCCCTGGGCACCCCTGAAACCTATGATTGTGGGTTCGAATCTCGATCGCCCCGATTATGTTTCTAGGTTTGTCTGCACCATACCCGTGCTCGTGGGTTTCACCGAAGTGGTAAACGTCTGAGACCTGCATCACCTCGGGCTTTCCTCCCACATTAAGCTGACACGCAGTCATATAACTGGAATACTGTTTAAAGCGGCGTAAAACCTCACTCACTCACTAGATTTGTAACTATATTTGTAAAAGGCCTGAACTACGAATAAACATGTCTGTCTGTCTGTTTGTCACACACGCACGCACGCGCGCGCCAAATGATATAGAGGATGAATTTCAAATGCTTCTACCGTGTCGTTCATACTCTATTTTAACGAAGAGGGCATAAACGTTATGTTATCGCACACAAAAATGTGTTCAGTTCACGAAAGGTACAAATGAAACACAATGCAGGGTGTGGTGACATGTTTATTTCATAAAATAACATTACGAAGACGATTATAAGTAAAGCGAGAGTTACACTGGCCCTGGGGCGAGTTGGGTAAGTTGTCTGGGATGATAATATTGACACAGGCGTGCCACACTGTTTAAATCTATTAGTTATATGATTGATGATATGAACACATCGTACCTTGAAATCTCAGGATTAATACCCAACGCTTTTTATTATACATATAAATATATTTATAGGAACGTCCGGGCGAAAATAAGTACAGACTTTAAAATTGACACTTCACTCTACTAATATTACTGTGTACTGTGAAATTTGCGATCCCGTGTTCCACCGAGACGTCATTTGAGCGTCAGTTTGCATGTCATATCGCCAATGACAACCATATCAGATACATCACCATCGAATAACCATTTCATGTTTTGTTTCTTTTGCCAGGCAGTTTTAATAAAGATAAGCGAGTGTATAAAAATCCACTGAAGCAAACGTTAAAAGAATGAAACGCGCTCAACAGCATTGCGTAATATATGTGGTCATTGTTGACGTCGCGTTGACCATATTAGCTTTACGGCGATATAAGATTGCTTCTTAACTACGGCTAAGTGTGAGGTGGATACTTCTTCAAAAAGTGGAGACTAAGGTGTATATTACTCAGAAGTTTAGAAAGATCGAATATTATTGCTTTCCGAATTTGCACTTTTTAGCGATTATCAGTGCTATTTGGTCAGTTGAAGCGATATGACGTCACATTCCTTCATTGTTGGTGGCAATTCGATCTGATGTAATTCTTTGTTCATGGCCTCACAATTCGATAATATCACGACTTCTTAACAATAGGTTCAATTAATTTATATATTTCGTTTTGTTTGTTGTGTAACACCACACTCAGCAATAATCCAGCTATATGACGGCGGTCTGTACATAATTGATTATATAATCGTCATATCTATACCGGACAATCCAGTGATAGACATCATGAACGTCGATCTAGGCAAATGGGATACGATGACATGCATCAACCAAGCCTCCGAGCATGACCACCCGATCCCGTTAGTCGCCTCGTATGACGAGCATGGGTTGCTGAAGATCAATTCTATTCTGGATCTTTACGGGTAGCCCAATTCGATCGCCTCTTACAGCCAGTTGGGGACTCGTTCTACTCCGGGGTCCCTACGGAATGAATTTATATATGTAATGCTGACATTCTCACGGGTTTTGTTCGTTTTCATGATATAAAAATAAGTAATATATTTACAATAACACTCAATACTTGGATTATGGATGATATCTTTCGTAAATGACTGCTGTAAGTCCATCGCCAAAGGCTCGGGACTTCTCTCATTCCTTCACTTGGGACGGTTAATTAATAATTCCTCATAGCGCATTGGTTATTTCCTAATTATTACATGCGTGTGGGACAGAACAGCGAACACTACTCTCTCTCTCTCTCTCTCTCTCTCTCTCTCTCTCTCTCTCTCTCTCTCTCTCTCTCTCTCTCTCCCTCTCTCTCTCTCTCTCTCTCTCTCATATTGTATATTTTACGTACGCATTCTACAGTCACGCGCACAGACTCTCAATAAGCCTGTACTGATTACCTCCCTTTATTTACAACCCACGCTAGTCTCATTTTTCCACAACGATCGATATGTCGAGTTCCCAATATACACGCGACGTAAATAACACCTGATCTCTGAACCCGTCCACATCCTTCACACTGTGTCTGCGGCCCTAGCGCCACCGACTGGCCAAGCCATGTGCACCTGCTTATAACTGGTTACCGTCTGTACTGAACATCTACCGAAAGGGAATGAATGCAATTATCTAAAATTTCAGGGGTAAAGGTTGTTAAACTGAACTCAGTATATTCTTACGAGATAGACAATGAAAAAAAAAACCAGAAACAAAACGTTGTCAACAATTATTTGGTAGAACGACGTTTTTAAGCATGTCAGTATAACCTACAATTACCTGCAATATGTAAGTGATTACAAATGTACTCACAAACAAACAATCACTACGTGTTAGCCTTTGTATGATAGGGTGTCTATATGTTCATTCTTTCTTCATTTTCTTCAAAAATGTATCTTTCTTCGATTCTAATAAAGGACAAAGGAATTTAAATCCAACAGGTATTCGTCGTTTCTAGTTAGAACCAAAGGAAGACGATGTGGACATGCATAGACATATATTGAGGTGTTAAGAACTGGAGAACATGGCCATATTTATTTAAACTGATTTTAATAAGATGGGTTTATGAAAATATGGAGATGTGATATTGATGACATTATGGACGTCTTCGACTTATGTTATCGCAGTGTTGCACAGTGAGGTCCAGTGGGTATTATAGTTGTACACTGAGGTCCAGTGGGTATTATAGTTGTACACTGAGGTCCTGTGGGTATTATAGTTGTACACTGAGGTCCAGTGGGTATTATAGTTGTACACTGAGGTCCAGTGGGTATTATAGTTGTACACTGAGGTCCAGTGGGTATTATAGTTGTACACTGAGGTCCAGTGGGTAATATAGTTGTACACTGAGGTCCTGTGGGTATTATAGTTGTACACTGAGGTCCAGTGGGTATTATAGTTGTACACTGAGGTCCAGTGGGTATTATAGTTGTACACTGAGGTCCAGTGGGTAATATAGTTGTACACTGAGGTCCAGTGGGTATTTTAGTTGTACACTGAGGTCCAGTGGGTATTATAGTTGTACACTGAGGTCAAGTGGGTATTATAGTTGTACACTGAGGTCCAGTGGGTATTATAGTTGTACACTGAGGTCCAGTGGGTATTATAGTTGTACACTGAGGTCCAGTGGGTAATATAGTTGTACACTGAGGTCCAGTGGGTATTTTAGTTGTACACTGAGGTCCAGTGGGTATTATAGTTGTACACTGAGGTCCAGTGGGTATTATAGTTGTACACTGAGGTCAAGTGGGTATTATAGTTGTACACTGAGGTCCAGTGGGTATTATAGTTGTACACTGAGGTCCAGTGGGTATTTTAGTTGTACACTGAGGTCCAGTGGGTATTATAGTTGTACACTGAGGTCCAGTGGGTATTTTAGTTGTACACTGAGGTCCAGTGGGTATCATAGTTGTACACTGAGGTCCTGTGGGTATTATAGTTGTACACTGAGGTCCAGTGGGTATTATAGTTGTACACTGAGGTCCAGTGGGTAATATAGTTGTACACTGAGGTCCAGTGGGTATTTTAGTTGTACACTGAGGTCCAGTGGGTATTATAGTTGTACACTGAGGTCCAGTGGGTAATATAGTTGTACACTGAGGTCCTGTGGGTATTATAGTTGTACACTGAGGTCCAGTGGGTATTATAGTTGTACACTGAGGTCCAGTGGGTATCATAGTTGTACACTGAGGTCCAGTGGGTAATATAGTTGTACACTGAGGTCCAGTGGGTATTTTAGTTGTACACTGAGGTCCAGTGGGTATTATAGTTGTACACTGAGGTCCAGTGGGTAATATAGTTGTACACTGAGGTTCAGTTGGTATTATAGTTGTACACTGAGGTCCAGTGGGTATTATAGTCGAATACTGAGGTCCAGTGGGTATTATAGTTGTACACTGAGGTCCAGTGGGTCCCAAGTTACCCACGCTTGTAGTACGAGTCAACTACAACCAGTAAGTGATTGAGTACGGTTTTACGCCGCTTTTAACAACATTCAAGCAATATCACGGTGGGGAACGCCAGAAATTGGCTTCACACATTGTGCCCATGTGGGGAATCGAACTCGGGTCTTCGCCGGGACGAGCTAACGCTTTAACTACTGGGTTACCCCACCGCCCTTACTATCAAGTTATTACAGTGCGGGCCCCGGTTGATAGTGTGTCGTGTACTATGTCAGTGTGTGTCGTTGCTGGGTCTATTAACAACTAATTTGGCTGTTCAGATTCCATAATTTACAATCCAGGGCAATATAACCGAAGCTAAGTGTGGTATAAAACATCAGTCATTCACTCTTAGTCGTAGTTATTGTGTTTTAATAATACAATATGTATTTCCATTGAGAATATGACCCTACATAATAATAGAAATCACACGTGATCATGACAGAATATAGTTCTTTTATATCTCATGGCTCACGTGGTGGGCCTTAGTTTACCAGCACAATAGCCCTGTAACGGGTTTGACTAAAGCTTTAAAAGAGATGAGAACATTATAATACCATACAAGTTTAACAATATGTTTGTTTCCATTTCTGCCTGATCTGTTCATTCCATATAGGATTACGAACCAGTATTCTTCCCCAATACCATTACATTTATCCAACCTAAGACAAGCTGATTCCATTGTTTTCCTGTAACAATAGTAGGATTATTAAGACGTTTGTAAATTTTCTATTCTTTGAATTAGCTATATACAGTAATTTTCTACAGGATGCTCCAGTTATATATAAACCTAAAATATGGTAATTTCTTTCTCATCTATGCTAATCATGAATGTAATATCTGTGTCGTGTCTGAACTATGTCAAGCGGCGTATGGTAATGCCCTGTACATGAATAATGGACCTGTGCGCCTTTTACATTATTAGAAACACTCAATAGGTTTGTTTGTACTTCGACATTGAAATTTAACGGGAAACCATTTCAAGGAAGGAATAGTATTTCAGCATACGTCGAATGAGATCCGGGGTAGAATAGGTCTTCAGCAACCCATGCTTGCCGTAAAAGGCGACTATGCTGGGATCGGGTGGTCAGGCTCGCCGACTTGTTTGATGCATGTCATCAATCCCAATTGCGTGGATCGATGCTTATGATATCAATCACTGGATTGTCTGGTCCAGACTCGATTATTTACAGACCGCCGTCATATAGCTGGAATATTGCTGAGTGCGGCGGAAAGCAACAAACAAACAAACGTCGAATGAAGTTGTCGCATCCAGTGACGTGAACCAAAAAATGATGTATTTTTATCAGTCAAATGCAGACTATCCCACCCCCTCCCTCTGATTTCAGCCCTCCTGGGGTAGTATATTCCTACATCTGCCTCTGCTTGTCGTAAAATACCTGGACAATGCTAAGCGGCGTACTCTTAACTCGCTCACCCTAATCATGTTGAGGATTGTTACCTGGATGGTTAGGGTTGCGCGCGGAATGATACCATCACCGTCCCGGAGATACGGGCTCCGTCCCAGAGTGTCATCTTGGCCCGCTGACGTACCATATAGACATGTATGTGGAAGTCGTACCGCTGGATCTATTTCTTCTGTTTAACATTCTTACGTCTTATTTGACAAAAAGAAAAGTGGGTTGGCCACAACTAGGACCTTTTACGTCTGTTTCAATTACCTTGGTTTAGTTTGTATACCTGTATGTTGAGTGACGTGTGTCTGTTCTACAGCCGCGTGTAAATGTTCTGAAGCGGGCGTTGACGAAGACGAGCATCCTGTGTTCTTAGTCAATGACACACCTGGCTGAGTCAGCATTTTAAAGACTAACTTTTATTCCTGCATAAAACAATTACGCAACGTCATACGCCCGGGCCATGACACCTCCATTAAGCTCTAGGTGCGTTATGTCGTGTCAGCGTACATCTACTGAATACTAAAACAAAACCACATGCCGGTACTTCTATCCTAGTATATTCTGTATGTGGTGTGAGTTTATGTTTATTTGAGTACAAACACATGCTGATTCGATAATTTGAGCAGTATTTATCGGAGAACTATTATAGAACAGGAAATGTAAGCGAGCGTAATAAACTGTTGACAAACCGGATAAGAAAGTCTCACAGAAAACGATATAAGCTTACTGTTTGTGACGTCATATCTATATGTACTGTGACGTCATGAGAGATGTCGGGCTGCTCGTTTGAAGCCACCCACTGACAGGTGCTTGTGTGAGTGATGACTATATAATTAAGAGGATGGCTGATTAAAGTAACAGGATTATGTCCCAAGACTATTTTGGAATATAAGAGGAAACAAAGTGTATTCATATACGTATATATGTAGTACTTAAGCTTGGTGAAAATTTTGATTATGGTTCAGCTGACAGCTTCAAGGTATTTCGAATTTGAACTATATAATCTTCCTTCGAAAATAAAAACATGTTAATTTTTACATTATTATTCTCTAGTATTTCAATACAAGCACCGTTATACATTAAAAACGTATAATACTATATTTATATCTAAGTGATAGGCACATATCTCAGCTTGGCATAGCTTAGAAATAACGTGGAGAAGTGTGGGAATATATGCATTAAAAAACCCTCAGAATTATTATTGACTGATTGCGAAAATGATTAAAATAACATTTAAACACTGCATCCTATGAAGGGGGTGCATTATGCCCAAGTGCGTATCATACAAAAGAAAATACATTAACAAATAATAAATAACATAACTCCACTGAAAATAATAATGTTGTTGACCAAACCGATACCGGCAGCAATAATCCTATTTCATGGGCAGCGCATATTCCATGTTTTGTACCCAACAGCGCGGTGATCTGAAAGGGGACACACTAAGTTCCGTGGCTACTTAAACCTCTAAAGTTTATTGACAACAAGGGCCCTAATTAGTCACCTTACGGTTCAGTACCCCCTGGGATGAAAAGAACCTGTAGTACGGCTGGGTTAATACTTTGCCCAGAACAATTGATGTCTTGGGCGGGGCCTTTTGAATGAATCACCGATCTTAGCTTACAGTTGTGGGTCAAAGGTTGAGCGACATTTTGCTTCAAATTTGCTTCCCCGTGGGGCCGGTGGTTGTAGTCTGCGCTATTACTCAACTAGGGAAACATTCCCCTTTTCGAATTGATTTTCTCTAACGTCGGAGAGATCTTAAACAACTCCTTCTCGCGGGCAGCGCGAGACAGTCGCATCGCTATTCACCACATGCGACCTTCACCTTGGATGGCATGTACTCTGCTCTAGTGTGACGTCAAAATTTCCCCTCCTTCCTCCGAGGCGAGACACACACTTCACCGGCGGAAGAAACAAAATACAACAGAGACCCCAAAACTGGATATCCTCGAACGATGGACAGAAATTAAGGATATTTAATTGGTGGTGAATCATTCTTATGTATGCCTGGTGTTATTGATATGGCATCAGTTCCGACATGGCCACAGTCGAGTCTGTCAGCGACCGGATCAGAAGACATTGACAGGTTTCGCTCAACATGGAGACGGGAGGGTGAGGAACGAAACAGGGTAACTGGTGACTCTATAATCGTGAATGGGATCCGATCTGGAAGTGACAGATGTGTAGACGAACAGGATATTAACAGTTCAACCATGGCGGGGAAAAATAAGGTAGGACATCTGAATGACTCTGATCATATTGTGTCAGTTCACAACAATCCTTTTTTCAAAACTTATGGGATTCGAACCCAGCGACCCGAGAGTCGTGTTGACGATCCAAGTGTGCACGAGGGATCTGGAACTCTTAGATCAGCAAATATCAAAGAAAATGATGGTGTATTTGAAGAAGATGAACCCCACGTATACAAACCGGGATCAGGGTTTGTACACAAACTTATGGGCAAGTTCTCCTCACTCTCCACCAGGGAAGACTACAGTTACAGACCGAAGAGGACTTCAAGTTTGGAAAACCTTTTGGACGGACATCACAAACATGATGTACATAATAAGGAAGATGTTCCCAGACGGGTCCAGGAAGGGTTGTCTAGCTTCAGTAAGAGTGTTGAAAACGTTAACCACATGAGTAAGCCTCTTCGACCTCTTAGGGTACCTACTTATCGCTCTATATCGGAGTCGAGTGATAAAAAATCTAAAGTGAAATCTCCCAGAGAGTCAACGGATGCACCTTTCTTAGGCCGAGATGACATTATTATTATTGAAAAAGAACATTCGGACAAACAAGACCAAAAAATATCTCAGGCATTGGATAGTCCAGGAAAATTCACTGGACCCCAGGTGATAAGTTTGAAGGATGACACTAACAATTTTGATGAGCTTCCAAAACCCAATACTGTTCTCAGTGTGCGCAGCATGTTTGAAAAGCCGACTCCCGCCCCTCCCCTGCCAGTGTACACAACAGCTACAGGGCCTGTTGTTGTTTCTCCAACAAATAATTTGAAAAGCCCGCCTTTCTCTTCACACAAGATTGTTAGCAAAGTTTCACCATCTGTATCTACAGAGTCTACACAGAGTAATGTTTCCAAGACAACAACAGAGGCAGCAACTGGGCCATCACAGAAGCGCAAGGCTCCGCAACCACCTGTTGGAGTATTGTTAGATCAGAAGAGTGGTTTGCCAACTCCAAGACCTCGGTCAAGACAGAGTCCTGTTATTGCTGTGGCCCCATTTGTTAATGATGCAAATTTGGTCAAACAAGAAAGTGAGGTTATCAAAAGTGGAAATAATGGGAACGTTGAGTCAGGCGGCATTTGGCCTGAAGAATCGGTGTCTAAGGTCTTTGATTCCTCAGCTGTTATAAAACCACCAATAGCTCCTGTGCGGTCATCTAAAACTAAACAGTATTCTGCTTCAACCATAAAAGAGACCACTCAAACCACAGAAAAACACACCGCAAACTCAACTACAAAATCCGACACAGATTTCAAGATGGAAAAAGAGAAACCATCAAAGGCTGATACTAAAACTAACATCAATGGAACCAGCTCAAATGGTGGGCTTTCTAGATCAACGGCAGAACCAGTCTACCCACAAGAACCAAGCTCAAGAATTCAAACAAGTGTTAGTTATGAAAACAGTTCGAAATTTGATAATATATTTCCAAGTGAAAAATCCATTAGTGACTTGGATACCCATTTGGATTTACATTCACAAGATCAAACTCCTGTGGAATGTCTACCTGAGGGATCTGGACCTATGAAGGGAATCCCACGCTTTATATCAGATCGGTTAAAGAAAGACGGGAACCAAACAGGACATCATCAAGCATCGGTCGTAAATAATTCTTCTAGTCAAGAGGAAAATAGTATACGATCATCAACGTCTCAATCAGAGGCAGATCCCCCTGTAGCAAGAAAACGCAAGAACAATACTCCAATAGAAGAACCCCCAGAACCGCGAGATAATGCTAATCTTTTGAATTTTAGAAAAAATCTAAAATCTGTTTCGGAATCTAAAAAACCAGTGTCTCAGGTTTTTGATACAAGTCAAATTGTCCGGACACCTGTAAACCACATTCCAAAACTGGATCTATCTAGTATTACAGACGATCAGCGCAATGGCTTTCACCCACAGGAGGGATACAAACCCACGGATATTAAACCGTGTAAGATCATCTTCATTGGTGCCAACGTTAAGACGGGTCGTTCGCTACTGGACAAGAAGAAACTGTCAAAGGTAAGTCACTCCATCACAGAGTTTACTCTCGTCTACATTTGCAGTAGGGTGGCCTATTGGTGAAAGCGTTTGCTTGTGAATACCCAGGTCCTATTCGCCACATGAGTACAATAAGTGAAGCCCCTTCATGGTGTCCCTTGTAATGATATGGCTGGAATAGTGCTTACAGAAGGGTGAAATCCTTCTACAAGCTGTCTACACACTCTGGTCTACGAAAACTGTGGGAAAAAATGCACCCCACTGTGTCATATATCTGTACTTTTGTTTCAAAGAAGGTGCATTGACAATGATATTTTGGTGATATTTTCAATTTATTGTCTTCATTCGTTAGTATAGATCAGGTTTGTTTGTGAGAAAGTGATATGTTTCTCCCCATTTCATGGCTACTTTTAGAATCAGGAAGTAAACAAGATCTGCATAGCTAACCAGTGAAGTTATAGTGTATGCGATGCTAGAGAGAGCAAGTTTATTGCTCTAAAGTTTTCAAGTTTGGTTTTTGAAACCATTATATGTTTAATGAGGAAAACAATATTGAGGGCAAATTTGCATATATTTTGTTTCAACTATTACATCTCATATACAATGTATGTGTGAAGTTGCTGTGCGACTAAGGGTGGTGTATATAGTTTACAGTAGCGGTGTCACTGTGACATGTACGGTGGAGCACAGTTATGTCAAAATGCACCTTGTGTTTTACCAGCCGTGACTCTTTTTGAAGACAAGATCTTTGTTTAAGGATGGGAAGTTGCACTGATGAATTGACACAATTCTACCATAACCCTTTAAATATATAATCAATCATGTGGTGGCGTCTCTCATGTTCAAAGTGACATAAAATGTGGATTTTCAAGTTTCACCTCTTTGTCCATTCACCCATCATAAACACGTGTTAACGTCCCACTCAATCCTTGACAAACAGGTGCCCCCTAGTCTTCTCTCCCTCCCCACCTTCTCTCCCTCCCTCCCCACCTTCTCCCCCTTTCCCACCCACATTTGTGGCCAATGAAGCATGCTGTACATTATGGAGTTGCACCTATGTCAGAATATACAAAAGCTGTTGGGCAATCCCTTGTTTCAAGCCTGCCCATTGGGTAATCATCTGTTAAAACAATTGCCATTGGTCAATCTGCCTGGGGGTACATACTTCGACATGAAGAGAATGTAAATGCTGACAGCTGTATATATAAAGGTTTAATGACTTGATCAACAGGTATCTGTGTTGAAAGACGTACGGGGTGTACACCTACGTCTGTTTATCCAGTGTATTCAGTGTATTGTTAGCTCTAACCAGCATGCATAGTTGTAAATGGAGCCTCCTTTGTGAAAGAACAAACAGACAGTTTGCATGTGTAGTGAAAGAATTAGTCAGTTCTTGATGCAAGGCGCAATATTCATGTCAACAATGTGCTAAATGACCAATAGAATCCTGTTTTTGGTATTGGAAAAGTAGGTGTGGAACATTGCGACTTCCTGACACTTATTCGGATTAACTTATTGTCTGGATATTAATTTAATCAGTTAGTAAGCATATCTCGGTAGGTTGTGTTTCATTGTATGAGAAGTTGACACTTGAGTAGTGAGTGAGTAAGTTGGGTTTTATGCTGCTTTTAACAGTATTCCAGTTATATCACGGCGTGTCAGCTTAATGTGGGAGGAAAGCCCGAAGTGCTGCAGGTCTTAGACGTTTACCACTTTGGTGAAACCCAGGAGCACAGGTATGGTGCTGACAAACCTAGAAACATAATCGGGGCGAACAGGTGACACTTGAGGATAAGATGCCATCTTGATATGTTGTATACTGGTGTCAGGTCTCAAACTTTGGGATACTTCACGAAAGCTGCCTACTTTTGTAGTATTCACAACTATATTTACTGATCCAGCGCAGGCATCACACATATATTCACATATCATGCAGTAAACAATGGGTGACAAAAGATGCTCTGTCTTGGATACTGCTAATTAGACAGGTATATCGCTTTTGTGAGGTCATTGACATGTCTTAGGGCAGCACACGAACCTATTCAGATTAGAAGTAACCTGAAACAGAATTTCAAGTAGTGATGTCGCAGTTCACGAGTACAACAGTGCATTGTAGGCATCTTTGCACGATACGATACGATACCCGATAGACTTAATATGGCATTGATTCACATTTACCCTCATATCGTTTTTCCAACTTGATCTCGGATTGATATCAATAAGCATGTACAAACTATTTTCTAATTCCTCATAACTTTGATGTGTTTCGGATATGAAACCGGCCCGAAACTAGACTGACCTAGACTATTTTCTCGTACAGAATAGTTGACTTGACTCAGTGTCCTGTTGATGAGTAGAGTATTTTTAAAAAAATGTCTACTCATTGTTGTAAAAATAGACTGGAAGGGAGTAAATATACCGTATTCAACGTAATAAGCACCCAGGGCGCTCTCAAATTAGAAATAGGGGGCTCTTATTAGAATATAATTTTGGTGAAAGAGTTGAAAGATCGTAAATTTCGTGGTTTATGCTGACAGCCTGTAATGATACAAAAGTCTCTGCATATTATACACGACCGATATATTTTTCAAGAAATTAAATGCCCGTAATTAAGGGTGCATATAACACACGAGTGCGTATTATACGCAAATAAATAAGTCTTGTGTACATTGGTCAATTGGAAGGGTGCTAATTGTGATTTTTCACTAGCCAATATATCAGCAAATATCTCCATGGGCGTTTATTAGAGTGGGGCGCTTATTACGTCGAATACCGTATATTGAATACCCCAAAATAACTATCAATACCCAATGTGAATGATAAATTATCTGGAGCCCTTGTTCACAGGTACTTCAGGGAAAAGGTCTTTAGCAACCCATGCTTGCTGTAAAAGGCGACTATGCTTGTCGTAAAAGGCGACAAACGGGATCGGGTGGTCAGGCTCGCTGACTTGGTTGATATATGTCATCGATTCCAATTGCGTGGATCAAAGCTCATGCTATCAATCACTGGATTGTCTGGTCCAGACTCGATTATTTACAGACCGCCGTCATATAGCTGGAATATTGCTGAGTGCGGCGTAAAACAACAAACCAACCAACCAAACTTCAGGGAATCGCCCTGATTGTAATCCTTGGCTTGTTGACACCGTACCCTTGCTTCTTGGTTTGACCACAGCAGTAAATGAATCACCATGATCACTTCAGCTTGCCTCCTCCATTTAAGTGACACACTGTTATAAGTTAAGGCTGACATCATGTTAGTTAATAATGGCGTTTAACACATCTCACTTAGTCACTTAGTCAACTATATTTTAACAAACGTACGTACCACGACAACATTTAAATAATCACATCTTGACCAAACAAACCATTGGTGTGCAATGATCCATGCTGTTGGTTGCACACAAGCAAACAGTGGAACTACACTATCGTTTTTCATTTTACTCTGACACAATAAGTACAGGTCCATTGGGACCCATCTTGCCCTGTGTTCAACACATTGTTGTTATAGACCAGGCAGTCAGGGTTACTGGCACTGCACCAGAGCACTGCCTTTGAACAGCCTTTGATGAAGACTAGAATTTGTGATAATGGTCTTAATCTCTGGTCAGGGCGGTTTTGTCATTTGTTCTGGCAATTAAACTAATTAGGCATGAGTAGACAGCCATCATTATCAGCTCTTGAGGTGGAGCTATGCAGTGTCTCACTCATTATGCTGTACTGTATATTGGGAAGCAATGGGATTACATAAACATGTATCAATGTTGTCCGAATGTAGTAGGTCAAACCATCTGCTTCAATTACAATGAAACCATTTTTCAGAAGCCTCAAAATAAAACAAAAGGCCCAAGGCTTCACGCATTGTAACCATGTTGGGAATCGAACCCGGGTCTTCGGCGTGACGAGCTTTAACAAATAGGCTACCCGACCGCCCCTTCTGATGATATAAATAAACAAACCCACAACATATTCATCATTCTAACTACATTCTTCATTGAATCGTGACAGTTGTCTCTCCTATCAGCTTAATATCAGCTCATGATGAGTTCAGAGACTTCACTGCATTTCTTGATGAGCTGATAACCCAGAAGATAGTTAATAGATACAATGTGGGAAGCCCATATCTGATGTTCCGGCCGTGATATTGCTAGAATATTGTTAAAAGCGGCGTAAAACCGTATTCACTCACTCACACTCACATGATTATGTAAGCGATGATCAGTTCCGCTGAATGTAGATCTACCATAGTCGACGTAATAAGCGCCCAGGGCACTCTCAAAATAGAAATAGGGGGCTCTTATTAGAATAAATATATTAGAAATTAGAATTAGAGTTAAAAAATCGTAAATTTTGTAGTTTAAGCTGACAGCCTGAAATGATACTAAAGAAAAGTCTGTGCGTATTATACACGACAGATATATTTTTTCAGAATTTAATTGCCCATAATTAATGGTGCATATAACACACGAGTGAGTATTATACATGAATAAATAAGTCTTGTGTACATTGATCAATCGGAAGGGGTGCTAATTGGGATTGTTTAGCCAATATATTAGCAAATATCGCCATGGGCGCTTATCATGCTTATTAGGTCAAATACAGTAGCTATTAAATGAGTTCTCTGGTAACATTGGTTCCTGTGGAACAGTCATTACTAGAGATAAAGTTCCAGAGGAACCCACTTTCTGGAGGTATGAACACTGTTAGAATAGCACCACCAACACATCTGAGACTGCTCAAGCTTTGACCATGTAGAATAGCAGTGATTTAGTTTCCAAATGAGTGTTGCTGTTAGCAGTGTTCAAACTAAGGTGGCCCTTGAGACCCCCTGTGTGGGGACCCCGCATCTTTGACTTTCAATTTTAGCGTAATGATAAGGACCCTTTGATTTACCTTATTTGACATAATAAGCGCCTAGGCGCTCTCAAAATTAGAAATAGGGGGCTCTTATTAGAATATTATTTTGTTTGAAAAAACAGAGTTGAAAGATAGATTTCGTGGTTTATGCTGACGGCCTGA